AAATGTCTTTCGGGCTCCGAGAAGCCGGTATCGCTGGACCAAATTCATTGATTTCATTGAATTAATTAAACTAAATTGTTTTAATTGTTTTAATTGCAAATGTGCAATTAATAGTTACTCTTTTGGAATTCCATTGTGTCGTTATCTCCCGTAGTGGGCCATGCAAAACCATTACTCTGAATAATGTTTTTTTATGGGGTTGGGGGAACTATGGAACCAAGGGACCTAGCGCCCCCCAAAAGTTTGCAGGCTCAAACCTCCTTGTCCGGGGAACCTACAGGACTACCAAGGAAGAGGCTAGCTGGCTCCTTTTGCAACCTGCCTTTGAATTTTCTCCTTCAAGGTCACGTCCCAGGTTCCTTTGCCTCCCCATCTTTTAAACCCAGCTTCTCATCACCATTTTTAATGATAGGAATATTGCACCGGCGTGACTTATAAGTGCTATTCTAAGGGATGGCGAGTCGATATATTTGTTTTCTTGTTTGATATACGGCGGCGAGAGGAAGCCATGGATGAAGTTTATTAAACCTGCCTAATTTTCTATCAGTTCTGAGGACTATCGATCCTGTCCATAGAAGTTATCAGGCTCAGGCGCAAGCATAGGTTAAAACAAAATCATTTAAACGCGGAGGTGGGGGTGGGGAGGGGGGCAGAGAAAGTGATTCTGTAGGGAAGCAGCAGAAAGGACCTTATTTGAATGCAGAGGAAACTATCTTGGATCAATGGGCCAAAGGATGGATATTTTGGGGGTGGGGGTCGGGGGGGGGAGGGCAGGGAGGAAGAAGAGATGTTAGAAAGCATGAGTCAAGAAACAGATGAGGCTTTGGAGCCAGTGTGATAGGGGATGGTACAGATTTCGCATTGAGAATCCTGCCCCCCCATCCCATCCCTTGTGCATTTGTGGGATCAACAGGAAGTGGAGGTGTGAAACCACTTCTCGATTAAGACACCCCCCCCAACCCAGCACAATTGCCCTCTCCCTCCTGGCATGCAGTGTGAGATGAGCTGGTCTCCCAGGGTGAGATTAGCTGGTCGCCATAGGCGAGTAGGGATTTGTGTATTTTTGTCGTCTCTTGTGATTGGCTGGCAGGAGGGGATCCCCCCCATCTATCGCCACACTGCAGCACTGCGTGGGTGAGGTTAGGGGCAGGGGTCTTGGAAATTAGGTTGGTTGGTTGGTTTGGTTTGATTGATTGGTTGGTCTCTTGGCAGAGGGGGTCGAGTACCCTGTTCACTTTTCAGGCGAACAGTGATTCTTCGGCTTACTATCAGAAAGTCCTTCCTGGTGTTTTGTTGGAAACTCTTTCCTTGGCCTTTGAATCAAACAGTAAGAGCTGTTCCATGGTGGAACCGACTCCCTCCAGAGGTGAAAAGGGTCATGCAACCTAAGAGGGCAGCTATTTGGATCGAAACTTCCATATCCACATGCTCCTTTTATGCTTTTTACATAATTTTTTCCTGCATCTCGGTAGCATTATCTTATGTTGTAGGTCCCCTTGACTCCTATTTTAATTTGTGAAAAATAAAGTATTTCCTCCGGAGGTGGTGGACGCTGCCTTCCTTGGATGCTTGTAAGCAGAGGTTCAGAGGTCACCTGTCAGGGCTGCTTTCACCGGGATTCCTGCATTGTGGGGGGTTGGACTAGATGACCTGTGGGGTCCCTCCAAAATTCCACTCATTCTTAAACCTTTATTGGCCTATATACAAGATTCCAGTAGGGTTCTGTGCAATGAATTCACTCAGAAGAAGAAGAAGAGTTTGGATTTGATATCTCGCTTTATCACTACCCTAACAAGTCTCAAAGGGACGTGGGTGGCGCTGTGGGTTAAACCACAGAGCCTAGGACTTGCTGATCAGAAGGTCGGTGGTTCGAATCCCCGCGACGAGGTGAGCTCCCATTGCTCTGTCCCTGCTCCTGCCCACCCAGCAGTTCGAAAGCACGTCAAAGTGCAAGTAGATAAATAGGTACTGCTCCAGCGGGAAGGTAAACGGCGTTTCCGTGCGCTGCTCTGGTTCACCAGAAGTGGCTTAGTCATGCTGGCCACATGACCCAGAAGCTGTACACTGGCTCCCTCAGCCAATAAAGTGAGATGAGCGCCGCAACCCCAGAGTCGTCTGCGACTGGACCTAACGGTCAGGGGTCCCTTTACCTTTACCTTTAAGGAGTCGCAAAGTGGCTAACAATCTCCTTTCCCTTCCTCCCCCACAACAAACACTCTGTGAGGTGAGTGGGGCTGAGAGACTTCAGAGAAGTGTGACTGGCCCAAGGTCACCCAGCAGCTGCATGTGGAAGAGCGGGGAAGCGAACCCGGTTCACCAGATTACGAGTCCACCGCTCTTAACCACCATGCTGGCTCTCAGGAAAAAAACCTGCACCTGGCAGTTAAGTTAATATTGCGTAGCATTCACAGTTCCTCATTGTGTGATGGCCTGGGATTCGGATGCTGAACCCGAGGGATCCCAGCCTGCACAGGATTCCCCGCCTCCAGAATCAGCTGAGCCAGGGCTGGGGCATGAGCCTGAAGGGTCCTCACTGGTGCTGGGTCCTCAGACGCAGGCACCAGCTGAGGCTGCTCTGGCTCCTGAGGTGATGGAGGACCCATTGCCTGCAGGTGCTCCACTCTTAGCCCCGTCAGAGGAAGCTGAGGTTGCCTCTGTGTCTGGTAACCCTCCAGCCTCTCCTGAGCTGCAGAGGCTCAGGGCAGAGAGGCGGAGGGAACTAAGTTCCCGCAGGAGGAGGGCTCGCCTCCAGGCCAGGAGAGGCGAGTCACCTGTGGACTGGGGCTGCTCTATGCCTCGGGGCAGATAAAAGCCGGCCAGCCCCAGTCCCAAGTTGCGGGAGCAACATTGTTGGTTGCCAGTTCCTGCCTGAACCCTGTCCTGCTTTCCTGCCGGAGCTCCTGACCCACCCTGGCTCCCTGCTTGCAAGCCTGTTCCTGACTTCACCCGACTCCCATCCCTGCACCCAGCTTCAGCTACTACAGACTGCCTCCCCGTTGCACCTTCAACCACGGACCGGACTTGGACCTCGCCTCTCGGGCAACCCACGGGACCAGCACACGTTGTGTGTTGTGGAAACCTGGCTGCTAAAGTCCGTCCTGTGAAATGATATGGAAGACAGGGGGTTGGACTAGATGACCCCTAGACTCCCTTCCAGCTCTAAAAAATATCTGTGATTCTACTTGATTGGTGCATTCCCGCCCCCCCCCACAATGCCCACAAACAGGACATGAGTACAGCAGCATTCTGCTGCTGCCATCTGGTATTCAATGATGGGTGTTCAGAGCCATGTTGCCTCTCATTCTAGAGGCAGCCAATAGCTGTCACGACCAGCATCCACTGATAGCCTTATCGTCCTCTGTGAATTTATCTAATCCCGCTTTGAAGCCATCCAAGTGGGCTCTCCTAATTCTGTATGTGCTGGGTGAAGAAGAATTGTATTTTATCTGTCCCGAAAGCTTTCAGCATTCAGCTGCGTTGGGTGTTAAGGGCTCCTGACGTTATGAGAGGGAGGAAAACTCCTTCCAGTTCAATTTCTCCAACCACCGCTTAAAGGTAAAGGTACCCCTGCCCGTAAGGGCCAGTCTTGCCAGACTCTAGGGTTGTGCGCTCATCTCACTCTATAGGCCGGGGGCCAGCGCTGTCCGGAGACACTTCCGGGTCATGTGGCCAGCGTGACAAGCTGCATCTGGCGAGCCAGAGCCGCACACGGAAACGCCGTTTACCTTCCCGCTCGCAAGCGGTCCCTATTTATCTACTTGCACCCAAAGGTGCTTTCGAACTGCTAGGTTGGCAGGCGCTGGGACCGAACGACGGGAGCGCACCCCACCACGGGGATTCGAACCGCCGACCTTTTGATCGGCAAGTCCTAGGCGTTGAGGCTTTAACCCACAGTGCCACCCGCGTCCCCTAACCACCGCTTACTCACTTAAAAAAAAACCACCTAAAAGCTAAAGCTAAAAAGCCCCCAATGATCGTATCATGGGACCACAGACTTGGGTCTCCATCTCTTTTCTGGACCACAACTCCCAGCATCCCTAGCTAGCTAGGTCAGGGATGATGGTATTTGTAGTCCCAAAACAGCTGGAGACCCAAGTTTTGGAAACACTCGATCTATCCCTACCCCCTGCGTTGCAGGAATCTTTTGCCCAACATGGGGTTCGAACCCCCAAGGCCCTGAGATTAAGAGTCTCATACTCTACCAACTGAGCTATCCCTTACCTTTCCCCGTAGGGTTATTGTTGTAATGCACAGTTGCTGACTCACGTGTGCATGCATGAAAGGGTTAACCTGAGCCGTAAGCCCAAGTTGCCATGGTAGGTATGGCTTAGCAGGCTCTCAGCAGGCTCTGCCCCACATCTCCCCCCCCTTCTCTTTTTGTGCTTCCTGGAACAAGCAAGGAGCCATGAGGCCAATGGCTCCCAGCTTCGAGAAAAACCAAGTGAACTGGTTCTCTCCCAAAAGGAGATTTTGCAGCCTGCATCTTTGCCAACCCAAAGATTGCCTGATCCTTTTCGTAAAGAAACAAATTACTTTTCTTTGTAAGTTGTTTGGAACCTTTCTTTTTCTTTTCTTTTTTAAGGCCAACCAATAGAGACTTGTTCGCTGTTACTTCTGAAACGCTGTGAGTAAAGCATTTACTTATTTGCAAAGTGAAGTGTCTGTGATTGAATCTAGCATAGGTATTTTCGTGGGGAGCATTTGTTTAAAGGTGGGTGAGGACAGATGTAAATCTATCCAAGTTTAAAGGTGCTGGGAGCAATTGCCAATGTGCTTAACTCTGTAATTGGAGAGTGGAAATATCTCTTCCAGACCTCTCCATCAGTGGTTACTCCAACTCACGGATCGTTTTGGCTACCCTTTTCCCAACTCTACCATATCCTTTTTGAGGCAAGGCAACTAGAATGATAGAAGAACATCAGTTAATTCTTATAATTCTCAGAGAGAGAGAGAGAGAGAGAGAGAGAGAGATGCGCCATAGTATAAGAGTGGGAAGATTGTAGGATGATGGAACAGTTTGCGGGAGGCTGATGGGAGATTTCCAAAATGACTATGTTTTGTGGGACTGATGAGAGATGTGGTCCAAAATGACTATGTTTTGTGAGGCTAGTGGGAGGTGATCTGGAGGACACCAGGTTGACAAAGAGCCATTCAGAGAATGGGGAGAAGTGAAGGAGAAGAAGCCACAGAAGATCTCATTTGTGGACAATGTATTAATTTTGCAAGTTTGCCGAATAAAGTGCCTTGAGGAACATCTGTCTAGCTGCATGCTGGCTTCCGAACCCCAAAGTCATTAAAAGCAGCAGAGGACATACAAGGCCACCACCCAGATGACCAGGGTGAGGCCAAACAGGAGGTAATGGAGACCGTTGAACAAGTGGCAGCGCGTCGGCAGGCAAGGGAATGTCTGCTTCAGGAGGCCTTGCCTAGACCTTTGAGGATGTGATTGGCAGTTGGGCTCAGCATCCCAGCAGGACAGCCAATGGCATTCAGGGACGAGGATGATGTAAGCGGTTTGGTCATAATGGAAGATCCTTCTGAGCTGGGTGGAAGCCGACTCGCTGATGAACAAGGAAGGGATGCTGACCGACTCCTTCACGGCCTCGTTCTCACCCAACATGGTCACCAGAGCCTGCGAGTCAACGTTGTGCACGATGGCGGCATGGTACCCGGCTCGCTGGGCGTGAAGGACCTTAGTGGTGAAGGGGCAGTCGTACCTCTGGATGAGAGCGATGAAGGCAGTGGAGGAGCTGTTGGCCGGCGGTGGGGTGTCGATGGGTTGGCAGGCGTTGGCTGGCTTGGCTTCCACAAGGTGACCCAGAAGACCTTCGCGGTGGAGAGAAGGTCCAAAATGGGAAGGCAGGGCATCAAAATCTTGGCTGATGCCATTGTGGTTGTACACTGCGCGGATTAAGGCATCATTGGAAGGGATGCAGAGGAGCAGGACAGAGATCCCTGCGACCAGATGAAAAGGAGGTGAAAGAGATATTAGGTGCATTCTTGCATAGATCATAGGTGGGTCTGTCTAAAGGTCTTTTCTGGACAGTGGGAGCATCAATGTGGTAGTTCCTACTGGATCATCCATGAAACCGCGGCCAGGCAAGTGGAACAGGCCAAGCTCTTGGTGTTGAAGCACAGGTGGATGGTCTTCCTCCAGAGCACCAGGGCTGCCTGATGAGTAAAGCCTTCCCAGGACATTTGCCCAGAGGTCTTTGTGACCTCATGACCTCAGCCACCTACCTCAATCCACCTAGGAAATGTGTATGTCCTCCAATGCAGCTAGGGGTCTGCGCAACCCGGGGCCCCCACGAGCGCACATGGCCTTCAGCCGTTCTGCACGTGGTCAGTTCAGACTTCTGGCAATGACGGCCCGCTCTTCCTGTGGCATGGAGGGAGGGAGAAAAGGGGGTGCCAGAGAGGGAGTGTTAAGTACAATTGTTTCATTGCGAACTGAATGCCTGTATGTGTATTGCTAAAGGGAAACTGGAAAATTCCACTGAAGCTCTAACAGGTTGATGATTAACAGTTGATGTTCTCAGCTAGCTCTCCCGTAGTGTTTTGCTTTAGATCATGTGATTCAGGTATTCAGTAGCAAATCTCCATCTTGAAGGGAGTTGCCTGTTAGTTTTTCTCTGGAAGCCACAGAGAACAAAGAATGTGATAAGGATCCATAGTCTTAGGTTGGATGCAGGCGACTGCAGGCTTGGGGGGGGGGGAGAGAGAGAGAGAGAGAGAGAGAGAGAGAGAGAGAGAGAGAGAGAGCACTGATTTCACCTCTGACCGTAATAATAAGAATAAGAATAGGCTTATTTTAATGTTTTAATATTTTAATGCTGTATTTTAATCAACTTGTTTTTATTATTGGTTGTTAGCCGCCCTGAGCCCAGTCTTGGCTGGGGAGGGCGGGGTATAAATTATTATTATTATTATTATTATTATTATTATTATTATTATTATTACCCTGCCCATTTAAGAAGACGGACCTATGCTTGAAAATGCATATGCTTTTATGCCAGTGGTTTTCAACCACTGTGCTGTGGCACCCTGGGGGTGCCTTGAATGGGGGTCAGGGGTGTCGCGGGCAACACTGGACTCTGACCCTCTTCCCTTCCCTCCCTCCCTCTGATGCCCTCTTGCATCTCTGACTCCCAAAGGCTTGTGTGGCTGTTTGTTGCAGCAGCCCTGGCTACAAGCCCCGCAGGCGAATGGTGCCTCTGGGGCTGGCCGGGGGTGCTGGGTGCCAGGGGCTGAGGCAAGCAAGCGGGCGAGGGAGTCCAGCCAGCCTGTCTACAAGCCCTAGAACTAGAATAGACTTTATTTGCATAGCCAACAGGCCATTGCATTGAAGGACAGACAGAAACAAGCCCTTGCTACTGGCAATGGAAACCCAACGGGCGAAACAAGGGTGTATCCTGAGAACTGGTCTGTCAGCTGCCTTATTATTACTACGTTCTGTTTGTGACACTCTCAAGACATAGGACTATGCAGAAGGCAAGTTCGCTTGTTACACTTTTAAGACATAGGGAGATGCAGAAGGAAGATGGCGTTGTCAACAGAAACTGGCATTGAAATGGCATTGCCAACAGGAACTGTACATTGTAATTGCTGGACTTGACAATCTTTGGACTTTACGGCAATAAAAACATCTAGAAGGTTAATAGTAATATGATATGTTATTGCCACCAGGAACTGTGCTTTGCATTTTTTTGATATGACGATTACAGTTTTATTATATATAATGTTATGTTACTTTACGGGGACGCGGGTGGCGCTGTGGTCTAAACCACAGAGCCTAGGGCTTGCTGATCGGAAGGTCGGCGGTTCGAATCCCCGCGACGGGGTGAGCTCCCGTTGCTCGGTCCCTGCTCCTGCCAACCTAGCAGTTCGAAAGCACGTCAAAGTGCAAGTAGATAAATAGGTACCGCTCCGGCAGGAAGGTGAACGGCGTTTCCATGCGCTGCTCTGGTTTGCCAGAAGAGGCTTAGTCATGGTGGCCACGTGACCCAGAGGCTGTGTGCAGACAAATGCCGGCTTCCTCGGCCTATAGAGCGAGATGAGTGCGCAACCCCAGAGTCGTCCGCGACTGGACCTTACGGTCAGGGGTACCTTTACCTTTATGTTACTTTACAACCAGTTATGTGTGTGTTGTGGTATTCTGTTGGGAATGGACTGAGAAGTCTCAGGCCCTTGTGGGGCAGTGTGAGGAGGTGCTTCTCTTTGGGGTGGGGGTGGGCAGCTCAGGAGACCAGAGGTGGCAGCAGTGGCTGCCCAGAGGACTCTTAAGGAGAGGAGGCTGAGGGAACACTCCACAAGGGAGGGTGTTTGGAAAAGGGTGAGAGGCTGCCGGCTCTGCAGGCAAGGGGCGACATAACTGGGCTCCTGAGCCCCACAGGGGAGCTGCAGAGAGATTGTAGTTGGTCAAGGGAGCCATGGAAAACCTCTGCTTTATGCAATTCTCTGGTTGTATCATGGATTGTTTTGTACTTGCTTTGAAGAAGTTCTGGTTAGTAAAGCTGATGGGTCTCCTTTTATTCCAGCTTTTGTGCACCCAGTTGCTTCAAGCTGCACAACATTGATATCTGCCACAAGGGGAGGTAAAGGTAAAGGGACCCCTGACCATTAGGTCCAGTCGTGGCCGACTCTGGGGTTGCAGCGCTCATCTCGCTTTACGGGCCGAGGGAGCCGGCGTACAGCTTCCGGGTTGTGGCCAGCATGACTAAGCTGCTTCTGGCGAACCAGAGCAGCGCACGGAAATGCCATTTACCTTCCCGCCAGAGTGGTACCTATTTATCTACTTGCACTTTTTGGTGTGCTTTCGAACTGCTAGGTGGGCAGGAACTGGGACAGAGCAACGGGAGCTCACCCCGTCCTGTGGATTCAAACCGCTGACCATCTGATCGGCAAGTCCTAGGCTCTGTGGTTTAGACCACAGCGCCACCCGCGTCTCTGCCACGAGGGGAAGGATGCTTTAATTCCAAGCTAGCTCTGTTCAAAGAGTCACAGAATTGTAGGGTTGGAGATCCCCGAGGGTCATCTAGTCCGACCCCCTGAAATGCAGGAGTCACAGCTAAAGAATCCCTGACAGATGGCTAACCAATGTCCTTTGTAAAAAAACCAACAACCCCAAATCAAACGTTTTTGTTAAATTTCTAGCAATAAGGAGAGCAAGCATCACATTTCCAAAATAGAAAACTGGGATTTCCATAGCAGTAGCATCTGCAGTATATGATTTGGTTAAAGCAATGCAACACACGAAATCATAAAAGAATGCAACAAACCAACCAAATGCAATATATACCAAATCACAGCATGCATAGAAAAATGAAACAGAACCCAAAAAAATGTAGTGTGAAATCGTAAACCTTGATGTGAAATATTCAAGACTGAGAGGAGATGTGATAGCCATCTGCAAATTTCGGAAGAGCTGTCCCATGGAAGATGGAGCAAGCTTTTTTCCTGTGGAACTCCCTCCCACCAGATGTCAAAGAGAAGAACAACTACCAAACTTTTAGAAGACATCTGAAGGCAGCCCTGTTCAGGGAAGCTTTTAATGTTTAACAGACCACTGTATTTTAATACTTTGTTGGAAGCCGCCCAGGGCGGCTGGGCGGGGTATAAATAATAAATTTAATATTATTGTTATTATTATTCCTGCTGCTCCAGAGGGAAGGACCTGAACCAATGGATTCCAACGACAAGAAAGGCGATTCTGACTAGCCATTAGGAATAACTTTCTGATGGTAAGAGCCAATGGGCAGTGGAATGGACTTTCTTGGAGGTTTTCGAAGCAGAGGTTGGACGGCCATCTGTCAGAAATGCTTTAGCACCACAGTTCAAGAAGGACACTGACAAACTGGAACGTGTCCAGAGGAGGGCAACCAAAATGGTAAAAGGCCTGGAAACGATGCCTTATGAGGAACGGCTAAGGGAGCTGGGCATGTTTAGCCTGGAGAAGAGGAGGTTAAGGGGTGATATGATAGCCATGTTCAAATATATAAAAGGATGTCATCTAGAGGAGGGAGAAAGGCTGTTTTCTGCTGCTCCAGAGAAGCGGACACGGAGCAATGGATCCAAACTACAAGAAAGAAGATTCCACCTAAACATTAGGAAGAACTTCCTGACAGTAAGAGCTGTTTGACAGTGGAATTTGCTGCCAAGGAGTGTGGTGGAGTCTCCTTCTTTGGAGGTCTTTAAGCAGAGGCTTGACAACCATATGTCAGGAGTGCTCTGATGGTGTTTCCTGCTTGGCAGGGGGTTGGACTTGATGGCCCTTGTGGTCTCTTCCAACTCTATGATTCTATGATTCCCAGGAAACATCTCTCCAGCAGCTGCTGACATTATGTCCCACTGAGGGGATCATTTCCATTCTCCATGCTTGGCAAAGTTCTCTCTTTCCTCCATGCCTCTTATGCAACCACTTCCTGGCAGGCCCCTTCACAAATCGTGATGTCATGGGAGCGCATTTTTGGGAGAATGGAAGGCGCTTCTGTCACAGACCTGATCCACTGACACCCCCCCCCCACTCCCCACTGACAGCGCAACCAGGGGGAAATGTATTTGGAGGTCCGAGATTTTGGATTTGTTCAGACACCACCCCTTTTCAAAAACACTGGAAGGAATCTTTGCACATAATCCTAAAAGCACATTTAAAGCCTCTTCCGTGCTGATGTGTCTGTCAAGGTGCCAATCAACGTGGGAGGACAGGGAGCAGAAGTATATCATTATAATTTCTCAAGTTTCCCTACAGATCTGTCAGCAGGGATATTTATTTGTACACAGCTATCCTTTGGGGAGCGCGGAAAAGTTACGGGATGCGGAAGTGGCTGCCGTATTCAGCAGCTTTCATTTTTAAAAAAATATAAATAAAACCACACACGTCAGGTTTCTAGTCCTTGTGATTGCAGACCCAAAAGCAGCTCTCCTCAGATTGACTGGGGAATTTTTAAAATCCCACTCAGAGAGAAGACCCATTGAAAATGGTTCAGGTGATGCTTGAGGCAAAGGATCCAGTGCAGACTGAGTCTCCTCTGGTTCCGAGTCCGAGTCCGAGTCCCAGGCCATCACACTTGAAACCATTCGTTCAGGTTCCACCTTCCAGAGCCGGAGAAAACAAGCTTGCTCCATCTTCCATGTGGCAACCCTTCAGATATCTGAAGATGGCTCTCATATCTCCTTTCTGTCTCCTCTTTTTTTTTTTTATAAGATATTTATACAAGTTTTCAGTTTTATACAAACAAAGAGAAAAACGTAAAAAAGAAAAAGTATTAAAAACACATAAAATTCAGAACTTAATTTCAGTAACATATTTCCCTGACCTCCTCATACCTCCCCTTCTTGTTTTCTAGTTCAAATTATTTGTCCAGCAAATCCTTATCTCCTAGCATTACAGCTAAATAACACCTTATTTTCTATCCAACATCTTAAATTATTGAAGCTTAAACTTTTACTTATAAAAAACCATTTTTCATATTCTTTTATACCATTACAGCTAGAAACCACTTAATTTCAATCCAACATCATTCAACATTCATTAATATTGCAGTATTTCTGTAGATAGTCCTTAAATTTCTTCCAATCTTCTTCTGCCGACTCTTCTCCCTGGTCGCAGATTCCGCCAGTCATTTCTGCCAATCCCATACAGTCAATCAACTTCATCTGCCATTCTTCCAGAG